GGGAGATGGCAGAGGGGCTGAAGCACCAGAGCAGGCTTCCCAATGCTGGGGGGAGAAGAGAGTCCCCAAGCTTCAGAGGCTGGATCCAGGCAGGGCAGAAGCTGGCTCTAGCCTTTGGGCCTTAGGTTCCCCACCCTGCTATAGATGGTAGTTAGGTTCCCAGGTCAGCCCACAAAAGCCTATTTAACCCATAATGGAGCTGAAATACTGTATAGTTGCAATAAGAAATATTTTTTTTATTTCACTTGGAATACTGGTGTGAGAGAGGCAGGTTAAATTAGAGGAGGATGAGGAGGGTGGAGATTCTGAAGGGGTCTTCTGGGCATCCCCCAGCTGCCACACATGCCCCCTGGCTCTACCTCCATCCCGTTGTGGGCTCTTGCAACCAGTTCCATCCCCCTGTTCGCTAGAAGCCAGCCAGCAGAGGGAGTGTCAACTGGAGGACTCCAGAGCAGGGGGCGGACTGTAGTAAGAGCCGGATGTGCAGGCAGTCCAGCTCTTACAACATTTAAACTGCAGTGCTGCAGCAGAGGTAGTTCCCAGATGGGGCATGAGCTGGGACTGAGCTGGGCTTGCTCAGTCCTGGCTCGTGCCAGGTCCAGCAGCTCCTGTCCACAGTGGGTCCTTTCTGGGACTCCATGGACAGAGGCTGCTTCATGGCAGCCTCACCAGCATGATTCATGCTCTTCTCCTCCCTTGCTGTCTCTGATACAGAGGCAGCAACAGGGGTGAGGAGGAAATGCAAGCAGTCGACTCGACTACCCAATAAGCCTAGGCTTATCCGGTAGTTGACTACTTGCTTACATCCCTAGTTAACAGTGGCATATTTTTAACTACTATCAACTGATGTTGCAGAAATTTATTTTTAAAAGAACTATGCAGACATGTCAAATTAAAGAAACAAAATAAGATAGCTGTTTGATAGCTGAGTTTTAAGGCTTAGTAATGACATTGATATTTTCCTAAATACAGAAATTTATTTTCACATAATTTTTTTGTTCGCCTATTAATAGTCATAAAATGTCACTGGGAACTAATACTGGAGCTTTTGTAGTTTGTTTATTCACTTTTCTCCATTCAGGTGGGACCTAGGAAATGAATGGCTAATGTAAATAGCATGCATATACAGGAGATTGTGCATGCTCTCTATGCAGGTACCATGCTGTGACTGCACTTGCAACTCTGCTCTCCTGCATCCATGGGAATAAAAGCAATTTAGCGTGAATGGATTCTTCGTTGCTTTTTTTTTTAATTCTCTTATTCAGTGCCTTCAATGTAAGCGGCTCATTTGTACCACCTAGTGGATTGATGCCTTCATTCACAGTGGTCGTGGCACTGACAAAAGCTAGAGAGAGAGAGAGAGAGAGATAAGGCAGCTGAGGTAATATATCGACCCAGCTTCTGTTAAAAGAAGTTGAGCCACTACTACAAGATACTTCCTCACCCACTTGGTATCTCTAATGTCCTGGGACCCACCTGGCTAAAACATGGCATTGATAGAAGCAAGCATTATTTTACAGATTTTACAGATGTGTATAGCTAGTAAAAGTCACTAACCCATCTGTTTTCTAAGTCCATCCATCAGTTTGAGACTGCAAAATGATTCAGCTGTGTTAGTCTTTTTATGTCTTTGTAATAGAGAGAATAAGGTGTAGAGACCTGGCCTGATTTATTTCCAGTCCCTGTGAGTTGTATCACAATCTGGATTCTTAGCCACTCCTAAACTTCAACATATTTTCAACCTAGGCAGTGCAGTTTGGGTGCCGGGGGGGAGAGGGGAGAGAGACTGGGAAGGACCCAGTGCCTCTCAGGTGCTCGATCTGGGTTTTGTGATGCTGTTGCACCCAGTTGTGTTGGTGGTCACATTTATTTGGTAAATAGTAAAGGCTAAACACATTCTCTGTTTAGGCAGTGGAATTTGAAAAGTAGGTGCTAGAATTGGGAATGAAAGGCCAGTGGTTTTGTTGAGTTGAATTGGAATGTTTTGGACTCCATATTTCATTGCTGGAGTACAAGCAGCTAAATGTGTCTATTTAAGCCATGGGATTTGGAGAATGGGAACCCAAATTCGGCAGGATCCAATAGGATCCAGAGGTCAGAACCAGGTTTTTGTTGTGCTAGTACAGCAGAACAGATTGGTGTTCCGGGCTGGTTAGTTTGTGCAGTAAGAACAGCTAGATGCTTTTGTTTCAGGGGCAATGGAATGTGGGGACTTACAAATATAACCGGGGGATCCGGGTCGAATCCAGCTTTAACCTTTTCCCCCAGTGGGAGCAGTTCTCTATTTAGGCAGCAGAATTCGGCAGGATCCAACTTGTACCCAAACTCTCCCTTTGGCGAGGCAGCGGAACGTGCCTCTGTTATTGCCCAACTTGGGTCTGGTGGGTTGCAGCGAGCATGTGATCACTGGAGTGACTGAGCTTGCATTGCCATAGTGTGGCAGCCGCGGGGGGAGCAATGGAGGCTGCTTAAGAGACAGGCTGGGCGGCAGCTGCTGCATCCATCGCAAAAGGACACCACCCCACGTTAAATCGCGGCTCGCAAAAAGAAGGAGTGAAAAAAGGTAGGACGTTCCTGTTTCCCTAACAAAGGCTGTATCCGTGTAAATGGCAGCCGTGAGCTTTGCGGGTGGGGAAAACCTACTGTACTGTGCTTTCTCGCATCCTGACCTTGTCTCTTACCCATTAGCATTTCTTTGCCTCTGTTCAGCGATTGCTGCTTGTCAGGGCTATTTTCCATTGTTAGACATGGCTAGTCTTTAAAGGAAAGATTGTTAAACTACATGTGTGCGATTGCTTGGTGTGAGCCTGGGATTAGCCTCAGTGTGGCTACCTGTGATATTTCCCTGTTAATATGAATGAAAGCAATTGTGAAGATTATGTATGCTAGTAGCAGTTGGGTTCACAATGAATAGATCAGAAAAAGAGCATGTAACGAGTATCTCCTCTGGTAAAACTGTCTTTGTTAAATAAAAATATTCGGAATGTTTTTGAGTGGTCACTGAACGTGCTACTTTCTCGTTGTCTGAGAATTTAATAGTTGGATTGGCTCTTACATTTTTTCCCCTTTGTTAGTATGTCCCTAAAGAGTCCTGTATTCAATTTCCTTTGCTCAAAAGCAGGAGATCTCAGAATCATGACTTTTGTTCCACACTGACACCCTCAAGAGATACATTGCTTTGTTTAACCTCCTCTAATCCAGCTCTTACAACATTTAAACTGCAGTGCTGCAGCAGAGGTAGTTCCCAGATGGGGCATGAGCTGGGACTGAGCTGGGCTTGCTCAGTCCTGGCTCGTGCCAGGTCCAGCAGCTCCTGTCCACAGTGGGTCCTTTCTGGGACTCCATGGACAGAGGCTGCTTCATGGCAGCCTCACCAGCATGATTCATGCTCTTCTCCTCCCTTGCTGTCTCTGATACAGAGGCAGCAACAGGGGTGAGGAGGAAATGCAAGCAGTCGACTCGACTACCCAATAAGCCTAGGCTTATCCGGTAGTTGACTACTTGCTTACATCCCTAGTTAACAGTGGCATATTTTTAACTACTATCAACTGATGTTGCAGAAATTTATTTTTAAAAGAACTATGCAGACATGTCAAATTAAAGAAACAAAATAAGATAGCTGTTTGATAGCTGAGTTTTAAGGCTTAGTAATGACATTGATATTTTCCTAAATACAGAAATTTATTTTCACATAATTTTTTTGTTCGCCTATTAATAGTCATAAAATGTCACTGGGAACTAATACTGGAGCTTTTGTAGTTTGTTTATTCACTTTTCTCCATTCAGGTGGGACCTAGGAAATGAATGGCTAATGTAAATAGCATGCATATACAGGAGATTGTGCATGCTCTCTATGCAGGTACCATGCTGTGACTGCACTTGCAACTCTGCTCTCCTGCATCCATGGGAATAAAAGCAATTTAGCGTGAATGGATTCTTCGTTGCTTTTTTTTTTAATTCTCTTATTCAGTGCCTTCAATGTAAGCGGCTCATTTGTACCACCTAGTGGATTGATGCCTTCATTCACAGTGGTCGTGGCACTGACAAAAGCTAGAGAGAGAGAGAGAGAGAGATAAGGCAGCTGAGGTAATATATCGACCCAGCTTCTGTTAAAAGAAGTTGAGCCACTACTACAAGATACTTCCTCACCCACTTGGTATCTCTAATGTCCTGGGACCCACCTGGCTAAAACATGGCATTGATAGAAGCAAGCATTATTTTACAGATTTTACAGATGTGTATAGCTAGTAAAAGTCACTAACCCATCTGTTTTCTAAGTCCATCCATCAGTTTGAGACTGCAAAATGATTCAGCTGTGTTAGTCTTTTTATGTCTTTGTAATAGAGAGAATAAGGTGTAGAGACCTGGCCTGATTTATTTCCAGTCCCTGTGAGTTGTATCACAATCTGGATTCTTAGCCACTCCTAAACTTCAACATATTTTCAACCTAGGCAGTGCAGTTTGGGTGCCGGGGGGGAGAGGGGAGAGAGACTGGGAAGGACCCAGTGCCTCTCAGGTGCTCGATCTGGGTTTTGTGATGCTGTTGCACCCAGTTGTGTTGGTGGTCACATTTATTTGGTAAATAGTAAAGGCTAAACACATTCTCTGTTTAGGCAGTGGAATTTGAAAAGTAGGTGCTAGAATTGGGAATGAAAGGCCAGTGGTTTTGTTGAGTTGAATTGGAATGTTTTGGACTCCATATTTCATTGCTGGAGTACAAGCAGCTAAATGTGTCTATTTAAGCCATGGGATTTGGAGAATGGGAACCCAAATTCGGCAGGATCCAATAGGATCCAGAGGTCAGAACCAGGTTTTTGTTGTGCTAGTACAGCAGAACAGATTGGTGTTCCGGGCTGGTTAGTTTGTGCAGTAAGAACAGCTAGATGCTTTTGTTTCAGGGGCAATGGAATGTGGGGACTTACAAATATAACCGGGGGATCCGGGTCGAATCCAGCTTTAACCTTTTCCCCCAGTGGGAGCAGTTCTCTATTTAGGCAGCAGAATTCGGCAGGATCCAACTTGTACCCAAACTCTCCCTTTGGCGAGGCAGCGGAACGTGCCTCTGTTATTGCCCAACTTGGGTCTGGTGGGTTGCAGCGAGCATGTGATCACTGGAGTGACTGAGCTTGCATTGCCATAGTGTGGCAGCCGCGGGGGGAGCAATGGAGGCTGCTTAAGAGACAGGCTGGGCGGCAGCTGCTGCATCCATCGCAAAAGGACACCACCCCACGTTAAATCGCGGCTCGCAAAAAGAAGGAGTGAAAAAAGGTAGGACGTTCCTGTTTCCCTAACAAAGGCTGTATCCGTGTAAATGGCAGCCGTGAGCTTTGCGGGTGGGGAAAACCTACTGTACTGTGCTTTCTCGCATCCTGACCTTGTCTCTTACCCATTAGCATTTCTTTGCCTCTGTTCAGCGATTGCTGCTTGTCAGGGCTATTTTCCATTGTTAGACATGGCTAGTCTTTAAAGGAAAGATTGTTAAACTACATGTGTGCGATTGCTTGGTGTGAGCCTGGGATTAGCCTCAGTGTGGCTACCTGTGATATTTCCCTGTTAATATGAATGAAAGCAATTGTGAAGATTATGTATGCTAGTAGCAGTTGGGTTCACAATGAATAGATCAGAAAAAGAGCATGTAACGAGTATCTCCTCTGGTAAAACTGTCTTTGTTAAATAAAAATATTCGGAATGTTTTTGAGTGGTCACTGAACGTGCTACTTTCTCGTTGTCTGAGAATTTAATAGTTGGATTGGCTCTTACATTTTTTCCCCTTTGTTAGTATGTCCCTAAAGAGTCCTGTATTCAATTTCCTTTGCTCAAAAGCAGGAGATCTCAGAATCATGACTTTTGTTCCACACTGACACCCTCAAGAGATACATTGCTTTGTTTAACCTCCTCTAAGCCATTTATCATGTACTTCTGCCATCATTTTGTAACGAGGGATGAAATTTTGATTTTCATGGTTTAAAAAATATAACACATTGTTTGGTTTTTACTTTTCTCCTAAAAACTGCAATAGGTAAGCTAGAGGTTGTGTCTTGGATGTAAAATTTGGTTATCTGTTTCCTATAATTTCTTCTGCTTAATCATTTATCATTCTGTAGTGGTAAGGGGATGGGGCGAATGAATTAACATTGCAAGGTAAGAATTTGAATGGATAACAGATCTTGGTGAATGTTGTCATTTGATTTTGACCAATTTTGCTAATATTAAGCTTCACATTGGAAGAATACAAATGATGTAGAAGTTAGCAGAATATTTGTATTAATGTTTGTGATCTGGCTTTTTAAATGCAACATGCCTAATTTAAAAAAACAGTTCAAGGGGTTAAAGAAAACCTAGAAACCGCTCCGCGCATCCTGAAAATTTAATGTACTTCACGATAATGGCACTGAAACTGATCTACTAGTAGTGGGGTGTGCCAGGGGGAGTTGGCACAGAAAAGAGTATGTGCTATGTACCAGTAAAGGTGTATAATACATGTTCTGTGGCTAATTTTCTATTAAGTTGTCAGTTGGCTCAATGTATGTCATGTAAACAGCGTATTTATAAAAATGGAGAGAAGTTGTCTTTGGTATTGTGTGCATTGTAGAGACCTAGTGCCATTTATTTAATTAGACTCAAAATACTAGTGATGGTAGATGAACTTCACTTAATGTCAGTATTTAAAATTATCACTGCCAAGTAATGCTACGTATACTTTGTGTAGGGTATCAAATTATTTAACTATTTCTGAATATTACTATATAAACTTCAATATTATTTCTGTTCCCTAGTTTAAAGCAAGCTTATTTAATGAAGACAATTAAGTATCTTATATATCCAGTAGGTATTAGTTATATGTATTACTCACTTTAGAGATTTTTAATCCAGTTGTGGAATTTAAGCAACGTATTTGTTAACTCCAACTCTTTCATTGTTAAACTTATTTAATCAAAGGCTCTTTCTTGGTCTAGTATTTCATTATAACAATGAGTTTAAAACATAGGCCCATATTGGTGAAGTGTGAGGAAACTCTATGCAAGCTATACTTCTGTATTTTGAGATTTTAAATATATCTCTAAAGACTCTAAAAATGAGTACTTACCAAAGAGATTGCTACTATAATTTTTCAGTTTTGAGCATATTGGTGTACTTTGTATGCTGTATAATTTTAAAAATAGCACTGGCTGCAAGTGGTAATGGGATAGTGCTCACTATTTCTATGAATTATTAATACTTCTACAATGGTCTCATGTTAAGGAATCAATTCTGTAATTTTTCTAATGTTTTCCTTAAGTATTTTACTCTACTATTTTTACGAAGTTATGCAGGTTGTTAGATAATTGTAATGGTGAGTTATTAAATAACTTTTTAGTAAAAATAAGTGTAAGTTTGCATCATTTACAACTCAATCTAAGTCATCCCTGTACAAATAACAAGAGTTATAAGTAATGATAATTAAAATATTAGCATTGCTATGCATAATACACTGGTTTGTTTTTTAAAGGGGACAATTGTTTTTATTCAAATTATTTTTGTTCTACATATGAATTGTGGATATTTGTCAAAAGTGACACTTCAAATTCATTCAAAATTGATTCCTGCAAATAAGAATGGTCATCATTTAGAGCTTCTATTTTCTATATCAGTTGTGTTTCAGATCACTCAATATGTGTGTATCAATACAAAAAATGTTTTACAAGTATCGTAGTTGAATGGAATAGTATAAAGAACAAAAATGGGACAATGAAAACCAAAGAGGACATGCATTCTGATTTAAATGAAGTGTAAAAAACTATAAACAGTATTTTTATAGAGACAACATATATTTAAATAATGGCATCATCATCTTTACATTTTCTCATGAACTAGTTCAAGAAACATGCTTTTTCACCTTTTGAATTATGTATATTTGAATAGCTTATTTATGTGTTCAAGGTGTTTTGATGCCCCTCTCCCACAGACACACATAATATCAATCTAGGTTTCTTAGGTTTTTTTCAAAGGCAAAAATTATACATATGGTGCTGAATAATAGTTTCAAAGAGCTCACTAGCAGTGGAATGCCAAGAAGAGTGCATTGTGAATCTTTGGAGACCAAAGCACTCAGAACAACATGGATGCATAGATACTACCATGATGAGTATGATTGATAGAAATGTTGAGAATCTGGGACAAATTTTGCAATAGCTTGCATCCCATACAATTGAACTGGATTCAGTGGAGTTACACAGGATGTATTTCAGAGCAGAATTTGTCTCCTTTGTCTAGAATAATAGTAGCAATCATTGCTACTGTTTGTACTGGACTGCTCAAATGCATTGTTATCTCTATTTTTGATTACATTGGTGATTGCTGAAAAATCCATTTCCCCCCACAGGAATTCTGTGAAATTCATAGGTGCTGGAACTATGGATGCTGTGGTACTGCAGCATCTCCTGATGTTAAGTGATTTCCATTATAGACATTGTTTACAGTTTGGCTCAATGGCTTCCAGCACCTAGGGTGAAATTCACCTTTTTAAGAAACAATGTATTGTAATATCAATTTCAAACATAGCCTGGTACATCCCTTTCTGAAAGAGAGTCTCAGTAAAATTTCTATTACATATTAAATGTTCCTTTTGTTTAAAAAAACCCAAGCTATGTCTGATCCAAAGCTGACCTCAGCATCTAGATTTATATTGATGATGTACGATAAAGAAATAACATTTACATAGAGCAGACTGGCATTAATTTAAAAACTGATTTTAAAAACCTACATCATATCACATTAATGGTTTGTTAATTAAGACTGGTGCAAAGATATAACATTGCTATTGCATATCACCATGGATAAGTGACATTAAATTTGCTTGACAATGTGCAAAAATTATTCAGCTATTAATATTGCATACGCAATATACCACTTACATTTAGTCACATTTTCCTTTCCTATATGCACATAGTTACAGGAAATTATAGACAGAAGTTGAGAAATATTTGTAGTTTTTACTTGTTCACAGTACTGAATGAGACAGCGAAGTTTGCTTCTAAAATATGGCTATAATAATTTATCAACTGTATTATTGCAGTTTTAGGTAGTAATCAATTAAATAACCTTTCCTATACAAGTTTTGAAATGCATGTATAATTTTAATAGAAATGACTAATTCATATAAATTTAATGTAGTTAGAACACGTGAGTGAAAACAGTCTATACCAATAAATGTGGTGTTTGCATGTGTAAAAAGACATGAGTTCTGCAGAAATTTTATGCTGATCTGTTCGAATGTGTCTCATTACTCAGCATATTTTTGAATGTCAGCAGTCAGACTCAAGCAGCAGATATAACAGCTCAATATAGGGTTTTACAATGAACCTTCTGTAGCAGGAGGTTGTATGCGAGAGATTATAGTAGTCAAAACTTTAAAATTTAGGAGACATGGAATCAAAACCGTATCTTCTGAGCTACACTTGACACTGACTTTTTATCTTGTTCTTCAACGAACTTTTCTTTAAAATAAATCAGCATGCAGTTCTTTCTGCAAAGCCACACTGGAAACTCTTTTTAATACAAAAAAAGAAAAGTTGAGGCATGGAACAATTTGACCCAAATTAGTAAAGAGAGAGAGATCCTGGCTTACAGTGGATAGAAACATATATAAATATACAGTACACAGAAATGCATGTTTAAATCTGGCTGTAGTTTGTATGATATAGGAGGGATTGGTAACATCACTTTTAAAGTTGCCTGACACTTTCTGTAATAAGTCAGTTACTTATATTTCCAAACTTTAACTGTTTTGAGGTTCATATTCTCTATTCTGGGTGTCTGCCTTAGGCTGAAAGTTTTGAAAAAAATCAGGATACTGGGCTGGATGAACTTTTGGTCTGACCCAGTATGGCCATTCTTATGTTCCAAACCCCCACAACCGCTGTATGTGACAGAACTGTCTGTGTCATCCACCAGAGCCAAGTAGATGTGTGCCAGTTTGGGACTATGGGGGATCAGCAATACTTTCCCTGTAATGGCTATTCCCAGCTATTCTGGACCAGATTAGGACATGGCACTGGAACTGAGGGCAGGGAGCCTCTCTATTCTGTGCTCTCAGACTCCCTCTTAACATAATGGAGAAGAAATTAATTTGATTTGAATGTAGAGTGGACAAAAGCTGGGCTAGGGGGAAAGAGAGTAATAGTTTGCCGCAGTGATTTGGAGACTGGGATTAACTGGGCAAGGAGACTAGAAGATGTAGGAGAAGGTGGATTGGGACTAGTTGGACAAAGACAGTGCAAGTTGTAACT